AGGCCATTTCCATGTCATGAACCATCTGGATGAGATGTCATTTCTCTTTGAATTAATATTAAATGATGTTACCTATCATTCTTATAGTATGAGTTTTGCATTGAATTGTCTCTTATCTGCTGGTATTAAGAAATTACTGCAATCTCCCAATTATTTCTTGCTATTAATAACACAAAGATATTAAAAGTTATGCAATCTTACATTTAATTTCTCCAAAAAATGCAGATTTTACTTATTTAAAGGTTAAAGTCATATAGTAGAAATGTCCTATTTTTGCTTCACATTTCCTTGGAAAGGTAACCTAAATGTTTATGCAACAGTAGAGAAATAGTTTTTCTTTAAATAGAAAGGAAAAAAAAAACAGCAAAAGGGTTATAAGTCACATTCTAAGTATAATAATTTGTAACATCCTACTAATTTTACATAAGAACTTGTAAATAAAATTGAGTTTTTATAACTATATCAGTGTAAATATATAGAATTTTTTTAAAAAAAGCTATTATTTGGTTTCCCATTAAATTGTTTCATCAGCCTGCAGATTAAATCAAATATTTCATCAACAGAAGTGATTTACCAATAAACATATATGTAGTTATACAATTTTTATCCTTAGAAATATATTCGTTGTTGTTCTTCAACAACAACAAAAAATCTCTAAAATTATATGCTTATAAGTGACATGACTGAATATTTACTCAGTCTGATTAGAAAACATAAGAAATAATGATATGACCATTTTTTTACCTTTTTTTCCATCATTTTTTACCGAGCCTTTTCTCACCTACTTCTTTGATTGAATGGAGTTAGTAGAGCTCATGTTTGAGGTATCCATTATTGTCTTACAATTGAATGAACTCTGTAGATAATTGTACTAGCTTATTTTATAGGTTTACAAAGCCAGCAGAAGGGGCCTTCCAAAAATTCCTCTTCCAGTCAATCCCTTCATTTTATATATGATGAAATAGAGCCTGTGGGTTTAAGTGACTTATGCAGAATTACACATTGTGTTATAAGGAAGGCTCAGGCCACAGTCCAGATTTTCTGACTTCTACTAAAGTATTCCTTTCAATACATACACTGTGTTGTCCTTTCTCTAGGTAACTGGGCAAAGGGAAAAATCATAGTGAAAACCAGAACATTCAAAGAAACATGCAAAATAAGACACTTTAGGTGTAAAACTTAAATAAAATGTGTGCTTCATAGGACAATAACTTCTTTGCAACAAGTTTTGAAGAGTTTGGAATCTTGATCACATTTTGGGCAAGCATAAGTATTAAAAGTGTAATACTATATTGGTTCATTAACAATATTAATATCAAGTCACATGGTTATTGTTAATGACTTGTAAAGCTCCTTCTATGCAACCACATTAAAATAAGTAAAAATTTCCTAGGTATGTCAAACTCATATTCAAATATCTAAGGTCCATGCTCAATTAACATATGTCTATATAGAATTGAATACAAAATAATACTTCCTAATCACTGTTTTATAAAATTAGTATTTATTATTGTTATTATCATTGATTAGTATTAGTAGTCTCCATTCTTTGTCTCCAAACTCCATTCAAATTCAGGAAGATCATAAGCCGAACGTTTGCTTTTGTGAAATTAGATTACTTGCCTACTGTAATTAATTGTGTCTCAATAGAATTATCAGTGCATACTGTGATGACACTATTAAGAAGATACCATCAACTCAGGAAACAAAACTTTGTTTCAATCAATAATTATATTGTCCACATTAACTAAGCCAAATAAAAAATTGGAAATAAAATATAAAAAGACACCATTTAATAATAATTTGCCTAGTTTTTTTTTCATGTAAGGTATTAGAACATATTTCCAACTTGTTCAATAAATTTTAAATTGCTTCTTCTCAAATTACCATTTTAAATGTCAGTCCATCACCCTTTTTAACAATTTAGTTTAAGTAGTATAGAAACTCTGAAGCTTACATTGATATTTCTGACTTTATCTGCTAAACAATTCATACCCCTGGTAACCATAGCAATTGCAATCTTCATTAGTAGTCATTCTGAAAAAAATTAACTTGTTATACATATAATTCTCTTGGTGTCCTAGTTTTCATTTTATCTTAATTTTGCTAATGTAAAATACTTTGAATATGTAGAATGTGACATCTGCATATGATATGACTGATGTATCTTACTAATAACATACTGTTGTAATTTTTATGTTGCACACTATAATTTCAATTTACAATAATAAGGGATTCTTATATTACTATCTCCCAACATTACAAGTGCTAATTAATTTAGAATCTAAGCTGATCTTAAATATACAAAAAAGAATTATACTTTTCTCTGAGTAGCTTTTTTTTAAACAGTAAATTATCAGTTTATGAAGTCATCATCACATTATGTTTATTATAGCAGTGGACATGTAAAACTATATGTTCATAGCAAAGGAAAAGATAAGCATGCTTGCTTTCACTAACTGCAACTGTAAGCAAAGACAGGTATACTGTACTTTATTAGTAAGAACTCCTTTAGTAAGCACACGTTAGAGGAATTAATCATTCATTCCCTGCAGACTGCTTATGTATTTCATAGGGCCATTATCTGATCTGAATAACAAGAACAATTGCATAATAAAACACATTACTGCTGATACTAGCAACTTTCTTCCATCAACTTTAAGAAGCAACTACCTCTGTAGCATGGAAATAAAATAAATAAATAAGAGGAAAAAAAGATAAATCTGACTGCAATTAGCCAGCCTGTTCAGATTTGACATTTTCCTGTATTATTGCATAGAAAGAGTGATCAAACATAATGCATGCATGCATGCTTTAATTGCAGAGTCTTTAACTCAGGTCATTTCTCAAAGCATTAAGACATAATTATACCAAGGGCAGAATTTGTTTCAAGTTGGTTTTGATATCAACTATAAAACAGCCCTTTCAAAAATCTAACAGCTTCATATTATTACAAAAATTCTGGCAAATATTTAGAGTAAAGTATTTTCCACACTACTACATGAGTTATCACTTATTTAAACCAAACCTTGAGTTGGTCACTTGAGGTATAGCCCTATTTTAGAGTTTGTAATAATTAGGTTTTAAAATTCACATCACCCACCCTTTTTCTCAATCACAACTAAACATAGGTCATATGCTAAAAATCTCATTTGATCCACTAATTTCTTAATTAAATATATTTTAAAGAATTTTTTTTTTGCGTGAAAACTATCACAGTAGTAATATATATTGCATCTAGCTAGGAAAGCTTATTTGAATTTGAAATAAAACGTTGCTTATCAAATAAATATATTTCCTTTGTAAAATTTTAATTTCTATTTCTGAGAATTCCATACTGCAAATTCATTAAACAACCACTAACAGATATATATATAGATATATATCTATATATATCTATATATATATATATATATTTCCCTACCTCTAAAAACTTATGTCCGATTATGTATAACATACCATGATTGCTATTGAGTGTCCATAGCAACTTGGAAAGATATTTTCCCATCTTGCTATATAGGACTAGACTTTCAGATATCAGTGTCCAATAGACACAGTTACTTCAATGCTTTTTAGACAAAACATTAAGAGAAAGATTAAGAAAAACACATATATAATGATTTTGAGAATGAACTGTTTCACCTGAAAGGGAAAATAAGCAAGATGTTTTGCCTCCCAACAGTGAATTTTCAAGATTAGAATGATAAAATCAGGTTTTTGTTATTAATGAAAGTGTTGAATTTTGAGTACAGAAAACAAAGTAAAAGAGAAAACAGATGAAGTTTTCTACCTACTGCAGTCTTATCCTAGGCAGTGTATTAGCTATTTTATTGAAAAGCTCACAATTTAAGAAATAGGTCTCTTTTATCTAAATTGTGAGTCATACTGTACCTACTGTATATGCAACAATGCAAGGAGAATTAGATTCCAAGTCCATTTGGCAGTAATAAAGAAAAAAAATGCTGAAATGTTATTGATTATCTTTTAGTTGTGCAAAACAAACTGACTCAACTATATTTTTCCTGACATAACACAAAGATTTTATTTGGATATCACAAAATATTGGCAAATGTTATACAGTATCTATTTTTATTTCAATTAACTGTTAACCCTTTGATAAATGGAGAGGAAGCATTTTCTCTCTCCCCCTTTCCCAACAGAAATGCAGTAACTGCTGACATCATGATGTTTGACCCAAGAGGGACAACGCTTGCAAAAGTTTTTGATGCAGAGACATTTAGACTTAACAAACACCTTAAACCTGTCACTGGCTGTCATCCCCTTGTCACAGCCGGTAAGCTGCACTGCCAGTAGTACCACAGCACAAGCTTCAGTTCTCTAAAAAGCACGGTTAGCATTCTCTTTCTGAAGTTCATCCACATTCTCCAACTCAGATATTAAAAAGAAAATAGTTATTATTACTGTTGTTTCACTTGCAAGCACTACCAAATCACAACGGGCTTTCAAACCGATAAAGGCAACTTGTCCTTAACGCAAAAGTCCTGTTGGATACCTCCAGAATTAAACACAAAAAGGACCAACTAAAGCCACTGGGTTGGGGGTGGGTGCGGGATAGGGACTGAGGGTGGAAATGGGAGTGGGGGTGTGATGGGGAAGAGGGAGATTTCAAACTCAGTCTGAAGCGGGAGCTGTCCATTCATTCCATAACAAACTGACATTTCAATGCCACCGTCTCTCAAACAACATCTCTTTAAAAAGGGAGCCACAGAAATCTACACAAAACCCCAATCATGCCCATGCTGATCTCCACTAATGCAAGTGCTCTTCCTCAGAAAAGCAAGCCTGGCAAACCACTTCTTCCTCACATACTCTTTTAAGTTACATAAGTTTCTCGGGTAGGGGGTTACCTTGAATAACTACAAAGAGGGGAAAAAAATCCTTGGAAGAGACACCTTTAGAGAAAAAAGATAGATAGATAGATAGATAGATAGATAGATAGATAGATAGATAGATAGATAGAATCAACACGGTTTACTTACTAAGGTAGCCAGCCCGGACCTCTTTGGAAACCCTGAGGAGTCTTCTCTTCCCTCTCCTAACAGTCAGATAAAGAATTGTGTTTTATTCCACACAGGCCCCCGAGGAACTGTAAAAGAGAAGAAAGCACATGCACTTGAGCCTGGGCGGGGACGGGGGGTCCTGCGCTTGGTGGGGGACCTTGGGTTGCTTGCTTTGTTTCTAAAGTGATTTCTTCTTTTTCGCAAAAGAGAAAACCAAATGGCAGCAAGAAAGCTTGCTTGGGTCCTGCGAGATATTCGGTGAAGGCAAAGTACCTGCACTCTCCCAGCTGAGGATGGTAATCCTCTCCAGAATGGGAGGTGGAAGAGGAGGAGGAGGAGCTGGAGAAGGAGCAGTTGGAGTCAGCTGGGGAGGGAGGGAGGAAGGGTAGGGGGGAGGCAAGTGCGAGCCTCCTGGCTGGAAGCAGCCGAGACACTCAGGCAGAGTCAGCGCCGCGGTCCAAGTGCTGGGAGGGAGGCAGGGAGCAAGGGAACGAGGCGCTGCTTGCCACGCGCTCTCCTGCCGCTGGCTGCTGCCAGAGCGAGAGCGAGGGGGCGCGCACAGGCAGAGCCTTAGCTGCGCTCGCTCCGCTCTCTTACTCGCCGCTGCCTTCGCTCGCTCGCGCTCGCTAGCTGTCTTCCACGCACTCACAGACACAGGCACACACGCGCACACGCGCACACACCCCACATCCTACAACAGCCGCGGGCAGCGGCTCCGCCACACGCACTCACCTGCATTTCCTTAACGAGCCACTTGATGGCTGACAGCAGCGATGTGCCGGCTCCCCAGGCCGGCAAAGGCGAGCCTGATAGGGCGGGGGTGGAGGAGGAGGAAGAAGAGGAAGAAGTGAAGAAGGGAGAGGAGGTGGAGGAGGAGGGCGGGGAAGACACCAAGGGAGGAGAGCCTAGGGAGGAGGCTGCGCTGCGGGAGGGAGCGGAGAGGGGCTGGCTTGGAATGAGCTGCTCTGAGCTGAGCTGGGCAGGGCAGGGCAGGGCTGGGCAGCAGAACAGGCAGAGTGTTTCTCAAGTGGTGACCCCCGGAGTCTCCCGTTTCCCAGAAGGATCCGAGAGCTCCAGGTTAACCCACTTCCACCCTCGGAGAGATGGACATGACACTCTCCTTGGCCACTAAAGCTACAGAGGACTTATCCCCTACCCCCTTTCCAGATGTGGATTCCTCTTCTGCTGCTTATTGTGAGGTCCTGAGATTTTGTTTGGCCGGAGGGTGGAAGGGAGGGCGACCTTGGAGAAGCGGGTCGGAACACTAGTTTGCAGCCACATGAGCCAGAGTATCAGACGTAGTGGTCGGGGGTGGGGAGGAGAAATAAAGTGGGTCACAAAGGAATTCGTATTTGGTCGCAGACGGGTAGTTTTTATTTTAGAAGTCAGGTGCCCAACAGGCAGGTGTTATTTGAGTGAGAAACTGGATAGTTCTGTGGAGGAGGGACTGTTTCTTTAAGATAATTGTTAGGGGTGATTTTTAACAGTCCCAGCCTTACCATTCAAGGGAAGTCTAGAGTTTGGGGTTTTATTTAGAATGGTGGTGGGTCTTCCTTCCCTTTTCTAGTGGTTCAACCATCTGGGGCAGCTTTTGAGTGATTTAAAAGTTTTCAACAGATTTAGACTTCTAGGAAGAAACTACTTAAAAGCTGAGAAACTGCAGTGATGTTTTTGAATAGAAAGAGGTCAAGAAGGTCTCTTAACCCTTCACCTTTCCAGGTCCAAACATCAGGCTTCCAGAGCAACCTCCAACCCTATCTCTGGCTATACACACTCGAATTGTAACTGAAGTACTCCTTTTGAAGGCAAAAATAATTATCTGTCTCAAAACAGTTCCCTAATATGAAGAATGTAAAAGTGTACCTTCCAAAGTATTAACTGGTAAGTGGTATTTTTGGAAAACAAAACAAAACAAATAAAAAGCTATGAGCAGTATATAATATTCACATGTCAAAGATTCATATTGGTAGAAATTTCACTTTCAAGACAGAAGTAAAGATTAATCTGTGTTAATGATCCTTTCTTTAAAAGGGGGTATAAGACCCCCTTTTATTTTTCTTTTAAGTACTTGCCTACTATGTCCCTTTATTCCTCATTGTCCCTTTATTCCTCATGGTTAATCCTTCTACTAGATCCCTCCACTGTCAATATGTCTGCTTCTTTTCTTTCTTTTTGTTTAACTTTCTTCCAGTGCTCTGAGTTTGGACTTGCAGCGTGCCAGTACCTTTTAGGAACTTCATACATGCTTATATGTGTATTTTGTATTCATGCATATATTTGTATGTGTAATTAATAGCAATATATCAATAATCTGTAGGGGTATAGTGCATGAATCTTGTTTAAAATTGCATAAAATACCCTCCCCTTTTCTGATATTAGCCATATCCAAGATGACCTACAGTGCATTCTCTCTTGTTGGATCATTCTCCCTCCATCCACCTTCTACCTCTCCCTTCCTCCACCTTCTACCTCTCCCTTCCTCCCCTCTTCTTTTTCCCTTTCCCCTTCCAAATCACTCTCCCTTTCCCCCCTCCCTCTGCCTTTCTTCCCACTCTTAAACCTGTCTCTTTCTCTTCCTGTTAGTGTTAAGAAACATTTCCTGATGAACTATAAGTGAGGGAATTTTATGAATGTTTAATTCCTCAAGGTATCAAAAGGGGAAGGGGGAGGGGAACAGCAGTAATGGTGTTACTAGATCCTTGCTTCTATCTTTCATGTCATCACTCACTCATTATACTACTTTACTCATTGCCAAGTAGTGACAGAGATTATTTCCTCTCCTGTTACTCATAACAATATATTTGCCCTACCCCGGAAACTTTCATAATTAATAATAAAAGAAATAATACTCCTTGAAATCATGGGATGAGCAGATGGATGCTGATGTGGTCAGCCTAGTCACATTCTGTTGTTGCTGCTGCTGCAAAGGCAATAGGACCACTTCTCCATTTTTGCTGCTTCTGGTGGGTTAAGCATTTGGCCCTTTTACTGTTTTCTCTTTTCCTTCTTTCCCTTGACGATAGTTTGTGTATTTTAAATAAAGATTTCATTCTGCCAACCCGCAGGAAGCTTTTAACAAGATGCAGCTGAGCGTGTCAATATCTTATATCTTTTTACTGCTGTATGGGGTGTACATCAACTTGAAACTCATCTCTACTTCAGCTGAACACTGGCATCTCTTAGAAACAGTGCTCCCAGCGGCAACTTTACTTGCCTCCCTACAACTGGCCAGTGGTACCCTCAGAAAGATTTCAGGGTAACCTCCCACTGGAAGCAAGGAGGAGTTACACTTGACCTTCCCCACTGCCTAATGGAATTAATGAAATGCAAGAATATTTCATGACTATCTTATTTTAGAATTTTTAATATTGATCATCACCATTAAAGTTGGTCTAAGGTGTCTTTCCTAAAAGACTGCAGCAAGATAACAAATCTAAAGTGATCCCCTTTCACTACTTAGCTATCTGCAAATAATAGGTCATGGGGTTGTATTCTGGTTTTATTTTCAAGCAAAAATAAGCTATCACCCATTTTGGTCTTTAAAAATTAAAAAGAAAACCTTTAGTTGTTTTCTTTATTAGTAATCTATGTTTATAAAACAACCACAGCCACAATGAAACAAAAAAGAACAAGATAGGTGTCAATGTTATTGAGTTCCCTTGATTTTATGTTCATTTTAATCATGATTTCATTTGGCCAGTAAGTCCCGACAACTATTTTAATTACCTGCCATAAATGTAAGAAAATGTTAACTTTGCATGTTTATTCTGGCTCGGAGAATGATTTCATTTACGTAACAAAGGTATACGAAGCTTTTGTCCATTTTCCCCCTGTAAGTCCTGATTCATTTATTAGACCTTGTGAACAACTATAAGTCAACATCTACGTGTTAGACTTCCAAAAAATTCAAGGTGTTGTACAAAGAACACTAAGCATAAGCCTTAGAGAAATGAATTAACCTGTAGAAAGGGGGTAGAATGAACAAATGATGCTCCACCTACAAATAAACTAAAAGAATCAAATACATGTTCCTGAAATATCCTACAATTATCTGAAATGATTATATTAATAATTCACATTTATATATGACAAAAATTTTAATAAGGTATTTGCTCACAATAGGTTGGTGTAGAATGTGTTGTAAATAAGTTCTAATTTTACAAATAAAAAGTTGGAGAGATTGGGACTTGCTTACAGGAACAAGGATAATTAGCTGTAGAAGATGAAACTATATGTCTAGCTTTCTTTCTAGTATGCTATAGCTGCCTGGATCTTCCATATATCACATCATAAAGCATAATAAAAACTCATTTGTATATAATGTAAAGTTTCCCACTATAAGCACTGTTCTTGACTTTTCTACCTATGCCATTTGCCCCTTTCATTTTCTTTACCACACAATCAAGTGACTTCTAAGCTGTCTTTCGGCTCTAAATTTTTATTCCTAATCAGCAATGTTAAATTTGAAAACTTATGTCTTCATGTGGGGTATCCCTGCACCAATCCAGTTTATAATTCTTCAGATCTGAATATCTCATATTTCTAGGTTTAAGGTTTGAGCTTTGCAAAATATTTTCCTCAAAATAATTATGCAAACTTGGTGATATAAGTATTGATATTCTCATTTATAGGTAAGGTAATCCAATTCTCATATAAATTATGTGACCTATCCAAGGTTATGCGGAATGTTTCAGAGCCAGGGTATGAACAAAAGTCTCAACTCTGAATACATTGCTCTTTTCATTATATGTAATTTTCTAATGCAGATATTGCGGTGACTGAAAACAAAATTCTTTACTTGGCGTCCAACTCATCCATGATGAGTCAGTTTGTTCTGGGGACATATACTCAAAATCACTTTGGGTTAAAACTTGAACCTTTATTTTTCCAGCTAAGTAAGACTGGCCAGTACTAACTTTCCATTAAGTCAGCTTTCCAGAGACGAGGGTCAGCTCTATAATGTGATGAGGTATCAGCAAAACAAAACAAAATTAAAAAAAAAACCTTTAATGGTGGTAGAAGTAAAAAATCTTGCTTTATTATTTAAATATTTTTGTTTGAATGTTCAATTTCAATATTATATAAATAACAAGTAGGTGTCATGCTGAAATGCATAAACTCTTATCTCCTTTGAAGAGTGATTTATTTTTAGATTTTGCATTTAATTTTTCATCAGTTAAATAGATCAACAGTCTTTAATGAGAAAAATGAAGAAAGATATTTTATTCAATTTTAATAAATGGTTTTAAGAAATAATGATAGCATTAAAAGTGGCAACATATTAATATGTGAACAGTTTACTCAGGAAGAATTTGAGACTCTTTACCATCCAAAGAAAATCATTTTTCAACTTTATATAGATTATCAAACTGTAAATAAATGAATGCTAGAATACTACTGTAGATTATGTTGCTGCTCTACTGAACTAAATGTAATTTACAACATTTATAATAGTGTAATGAATTTTAAAAAGATCTGTCAAATTTGTGTATATTAAATAAATTACAGTTTGAAGATTCTGTTTTTATTGAACATTCAGCTTGATGTGGCATGTTCTTGTTGGGAAGAAAAGTTTTGAATAAGAAGATTAACATTCTTTTGAGTAGGCAAATTATACTTTACAGTGTTCATCATAATGAAATCTTTACCCATCTTAGAACTTACAAAGAACCATTGAAACTAATTAGAAACAAACACAATTATGGTTAATCCAGGGTAAAAACTACAAGTGTCTGTAAATGTTACCAAAAAATGGGAAAGGTCTATCTATGCACAGGCATTGATGAGGAAGGAGCTGACAAAATAGAATATGGACTGGACTTAAGCTCTTTAAGGAGTTTTCCTATAGAATCTATCTCCAGAAATAGGGACAGAAACAAAAATTCAGAAAGTAAAGCTTTTTTTTAATTTAAAAATAAAAGATTTGGAAGAAACACCCTCCCACCCGTTTGAATCATTTGTTTGATTACTTTTGGAGTTTATTTATCTTATTTATAAAAAAAACCAGAAGATATTTGAGGCAAGATTTCACCTCCACAACGTCAAATTCTAAAAATCCTACAATTCCTATGCTTTCTAAAGCAAGGATATTTTGTATATCTGTATTTTTATAATTGAGCCACACTGGTGAAATTGCTGACTGAAGTCATAAATGTGTCTTTCTGAGCTTGAGTTATCTGATATTTCTTCAGTCCCCGATGCTTTTAAATCAGGTAGTTGAAAAACACTAGTGAGGAGGAAAAGGGAGAAAGGAGAAAGAAACACATAAATGGGGGGGGATAGGATGGAGAAAAAGACACAGTAATCATAACTGTGAATGTGAATAGGATGAACTCTCCCATAAAATGTAAGTGGATAGAACAATGGATTAAAAACCATAATCCTACAATATGTTGTTTACAGGAAACACATTTGAAACAGTGACACACAATAAAAATAAAAGGCTGGAGCAAAAAGCTGAAGTAAAAAAAAAACATGAGTAGCAATCCTGATCTCAGACAAAGTGCAAACAAAAATAGATCTTATCAAAAGAGATAAGGAAGGAAACTTCATCCTGCTAAGAGGCACCATAGACAATGAAGTGATATCATTACTAAACATACATGCACCAAATGGTATAGCATCCAAATTCTTAGAGGAGAAGTTCAGGGAGTTATAGCAAGAAATAGACAGCAAAACTATACTAGTGGGGGACCTCAACCTTCCCCTCTCTGAACTAGATAAATCTAACCACAAAAATAAACAATAAGTTAAGGAATAGAATGTTAGAAAAGTTATGTGTGAAAGACCTCTGGAGAAAATTGAATAGGGATAGGAAGGAATATACTTTCTTTTTCTCAGTGGTACATGGCACACAGACAAAACTTGACCATGTACTAGAGCATAAAAACCTCACAATCCAATGCAGAAAGGCAGAAATATAAAATGCACCCTTTTTAGCTCATGATGCAATAAAAATTATGCGTAATAAAGTACCATGGAAAGATAGACTAAAAATAATTGGAAACTAAATAATCTTATCCTAAAAAAATGAATGGGTCAAACAACAAATCATAGAAACAATCAATAGCTTCATTCAAGAGAATGACAATAATAGGACAACATACCAAAACTTATGGGATGCAGTGAAAGAAGTTCTTAAGGGAAGTTTTATATCTCTAAATGCTTACATGAATGAAATAGAAAAGGAGGAGGTTTATTAATTAGGCATACAACTAAAAAAAAACTAGAAAAAAGAATAAATTAAAAATCCTCAAACACCAGATTAGAAATATTGAAAACCAAAGGAGAAATTTAAAAAATTGAAATTAAGAAAATTATTGAACTAATAAATAAAATTAAGAGCTGGTTTCATGAAAAAAACAATAAAACAAATAAACCTTTGGTTGATTTAATTTAAACAAAAAAGAAAGAAGAAAACCAAATTATTAATATCAAAAATGAAAAGGGTGAATCCACCACCAAGGAAGAGGAAATTAAAACAATAATTAGGAACTATTTTGCCCAACTGTGTGCCAATAAATTTGACAATATTAGTGAAATGGTTGAATATTTACAAAAATATAAATTTCCCAGATTAATAGAAGAGGAAGTAAAATACTTACATAACCCCATCTCAAAAAAAAAAAAAAAAGAAATTGAACAAGCCACTGATGAACTCCCTAGGAAAAAATCTCCAGGGCCAGATAGATTTACATGTGAATTCTATCCAACATTTAAAGAACAATTAATTCCAATACTATATAGACTACTTGGGGAAATAGGTGAAGAAGGAGTCTTTCCAAATTCTTTTTATGATACAAATATGGTGTTGATACCAAAACTGGGAAGAGTCAAAACAAAGAAAGAAAATTATAGAGCAATTTTCCTAATGAATATAGATGCAAAAATTTTAAATCAAATATTAACAAATAGATTACAGCAACTTATCATAAAAATAATACATTATGACCAGGTAGGATTTACACCAGGAATGCAAGGCTGGTTCGATATTAGGAAAACTATCAGCATAATTGATCATATCAACAACAAAACTAACATAAACCACATAATCATCTGAATAGATGCAGAAAAAGTTTTTGACAAAAATACAACATCCATTCCTATTAAAAGCACTAGAGAGCATAGGAATAAATGGAATCTTCCTTAAAATAATAAGTAGCATCAACCTAAAAACTTGAGCAAGCATCATATGTAATGGGGACAAGCTAGAAGCTTTTTCAATAAGACTGGGGGTGAAACAAGGATGTCCATTATCACCACTGCTGTTCAATATCGTACTGGGAATGTTAGCTTTAGCAATAAGAGAAGAAAAAGAAATTGAAGGTATTAG